CGTCCCCTGCATCGGCAGGGGACGTGGGTTCGTGCCCTGGTCCGGGAAGATCCCACATGCCGCGGAATGGCTGGGCCCGTGCGCCATGGCCGCTGAGCCTGTGCATCCAGAGCCTGTGCTCCGCAACGGGAGAGGCCACAACAGTGAGAGGCCCGCATACGGCAAAAAAAAAAAAAAAAAAAAGACCCAACCATTTATTATTTCACATAGTTTCTGAGGATCACGTATCCAGGAGCAGCTTTAGCCTGGATGGTCTGGCTTAGGATTTCTCACGAAGTTGTAATCAAGATGTTGGCCTGGGGCTACAAACATCTATAGACTTGATTGGGACTGAAGGATCCACTTGCAAGATGACTCATCCACGTGGCGGCTGGCTGCAGGTCTTGCCACTTGGAACTTTCCGTAGGGCTGCTTTACTGGCAGCTGCCTTCCCCCAGAATGAATGACCCTAGAGAGTAAGTGGCCAAGACAAAAGCCATAGTGTCTTTTATAACCTAAGCTCAGAACGGTCATGCCATTGCTTCTCCTTTATTCTGTCGGTCACATAGACCAATTTGGAACAGAGTGGGAGGGCATGGCATGAAGTTGGGAACACCAAGAAGTGGGGGTCACTGGGGGTCATGTTGGGCTACCACACGTTGTCACAGGTAAAAGCTTAGAGCCAATCAGATGTTGATACGAGAGAATAATTCCGAGTGCTCCTGAATCCAGAGTGCTTTCCCCTTTGCCACTCTGTCCTGCCATCGTCCTTCAGAATCCCAGGCTGGTACAGGGTCCCTGGGACCAGCTGCCTCCACTGGAATATCTGATCAGTGTTTCACTTCGCTGAGGCCAAGTCAGGCGTGTGCTGCCGACTTGTCAGCTGTGTGGATGTGGTGATGGGAAGAGTGTATGGGAGGGCAGTCTCTCCCGGCTTAGCTTTTGGATTACGCTTTCCTTTTTTTTTTTTTCCGTATAGAAAAGGTTCATGAAGAAATTGAAAGGGTCATTGGTGGTGACCGTGCCCCCTCCCTCACTGACAAGGCCCGGATGCCCTACACAGAAGCCACCATCATGGAGGTGCAGAGGCTGAGTGTGGTGGTGCCGCTCTCCATCCCTCACATGGCCTCAGAGGAAACAGGCAAGTCCAGGGCCTTCCTCCTTGGCACGCCCTCGAGGGAAGCCCGTCCCCTTCATCCAGAGGACTTGAGGTGAGGTTGTGGCAAGGGTTTGTTGTCATGGATAATCAAATGACCAGAGGACGCTTCCCGCCTCAGCTGTCCCTTATTTGCCCTACGGCTGGCGTTCCAGCCCCGCCTGTTTGGTAAATAGCTCTCTAGCCTTCAGAGCGTGCACACTTAACACTGGCCAAATTTTGCTGCCGTTTAAGGTGGCTGTACTGGCAGAAAAAAGCTCCAGAATGAACAAAGGCCCCTCTCTGTCCTCCTGTTCTTGGAGGCCCGAAGAGCTAGCCTAATTATGAAATGAAGGAGCTTAACTGGGAATTATTCTACTTCATTTTTTGCGGTTCTGCAACTGAAGCACAAGTATTACAGAATTAGAAGAGCCCATCTGCTTCTGAAGGCACATGTTTCAGCCTTTCACCTACAGTGTCCTGGCCATTTAGGCACTCAGACTCACTGTAAGCATCCCTCACAACAAGGAGTTGTCGTCCTCCGGAGACAGCCCGTGATGAAATGGGCTTAAATCTAGTTACCAGACAGCTGTAGGAGGCAATCACTTATAGATGACATTGGATCACTTAACAGTTTCTTTGGTGTAAATTAGATACAAGGTGTGTGCAGTATCCTTGGGGCATTGTTTAAAGTGCATGTGAACTTGTCAGCTGGTATGAACCAGCATTGACTTCCCTGTACATCCCTTTACCTTAGTTTACCTTCTTCATTGTATTGTGTGACATAAAAGCCTGGGAACTGTAAAATTGTATACAAGTATTAGGGATTTGTAATTCTTTGGGAAAGTTCACCTGAAATGCCCTATGATTTCCGTTTTAATGTTTTCTCTTAATTGTAATGTTTTTATCATTTGATTTAATTGATTAACTCAACATCCATCAGAGCAACTCCTGTGCCCTGTCTCAGGCTGGGTCCTGGGAGGGTATGGAGAGGATGCCAGTTGATAAGGTTTTGCCTCTGCCCTCAAGTACCTCAAAGTTTACTCTCAGCAGATTAAGAAGCTAGATATGTAACTAGTTTTTGTCTGTTTGTTTGTTTGTATTTTTAGAGAGTGTTGTTTACCAAGAGTTATTAGTAAAAGCGTGTTGAATAATACTGTGGTTTCGTTTTGTTTTGTTTTAGTGCTGCAAGGGTATACCATTCCTAAAGGCACGATAATATTACCCAACTTGTGGTCAATACACAGAGACCCAGCCATTTGGGAGAAACCAAATGATTTCTACCCTAATCGATTTCTGGATGATCAAGGACAACTTATTAAAAAGGAAACATTTATTCCTTTTGGGATAGGTCAGTTAAACTTTTATTTTCTTAATGGCATAATTTAAAAAAGAAATAGAACCAAAAGAATCTTCTATTATTTCATGATACTCTTTTAAAAATGTTTCTTTCTTGGCAAGCTAATGTAAGAGAGAAATAATTTAGATAATGCATCTCCACTATGTTTATTTCAGATTTTAAAAACAAAGTGAAAGCAATTGGTTTTAAATCTTTAAATATGACTAGAAATCTTCCTTTTTGAGTTGTCCAGGTGATTGTTTGAGTCCCAGGGAACTGTTGGAGTTAAGAGCAGCTTTTGACCTGCCTGAATGGTGGGTGAGAGGGTGGGCTCTCTAATCTCACCAGTCCCTCTTTTAGGTTCCTAGATTAGGGCATGTAGGCTTCTTTCTGTAGAAAAGGAATGCTCCAGAGATTCTTTTTTGATATCTTTTCTCCTTAATCTTCCAGGTAAGAGCAAGGAAAGAGATAAGTAAGTATGGAGGAGACAAGGTAGCCCGCCTCATTGGCTCCGTCTCTAGCTCCTATCTAGGATGCGGATAGATTTTTATGAGTAGGAGTTAAAATGTGAACTTGGTATGCAAAAATTCTGATCAGCATAGACTGTGGGAAGCCACGGGGTATATGTGGCAATTTTATTTCAAAACTCTCTATGTCTGCCTTTAAAACACTCAATTTAGAAATTTCATAAATTTATCCCTTTTGAGGTAGGAAAAGGGCTGGTATTATAATCCTTACCTTTTTTCCTGGTCTCATTTTTAGGGAAGCGGGTATGTATGGGAGAGCAGCTGGCAAAGATGGAATTATTCCTGATGTTCGTGAGCCTAATGCAGAGTTTCACATTTGCTTTGCCTAAGGACTCGAAGCCGATCCTGACTGGGAAATATGGTCTAACTTTAGCCCCACATCCGTTTAATATAATCATTTCAAAGAGATAAAGAACATCTCCAGGAAGAGATGGTGCAGAGAATGTAAATACATGTCCTTCTAAACAGATTCTTCCTTCTGTAATTGACAGCGGATCCAGCAACTCTGCAGGTCTAGGTTAGGCTTGGATTAGAGAGAGATTGGAAAGAGGGTAGAGCACGTGGGACCTTTCGGCTCGGAGGGTTCCTCAGAAGGAAACTTCAGCCATTTTAGTAATGCACGTGACTTGGGGGATGGCGACGAAAGTACTGGATTCGGAAGCAGGGGATCCGGATTCTATTCCCAGCAGCCTCCACCAATGAGCATTTCTTCTCATCCCTCAGTGCCTCAGTCATTCCACGTGGAAAATGACGGTAACAAAATTTGACTTCTCTCTCTATCTTGGCATGAATGATGGTCAAACACTCCATCTTTTCTGACATCACCAAAGCACTGTTAAGCTCTGGAGAACAAATTCAGGAGGAGAAGGAATACCTACCTGTTTAAGACCCATGACAACATGAAAGTGGTGTTCAGACTTGAGTACTTCATCAGAGAAGGACGTGGGTTTAGGGGACAATGAATTAGAGCTTTTCTTATTTATTTATTTTTTTACTTAATTTCTTTTTGGCTGCGTTGCGTCTTCGTCACTGCGTGGGCTTTCTCTAATTGTGGTGAGCAGGGGCTACTCTTCATTGCCGTGCGTGGGCTCTCATTGCGGTGACTTCTCTTGTTGCGGGGCACAGGCTCTAGGGCACACGCGGGCTCAGTAGTTGTGGCGCACGGGCTTAGTTGCTCCACGACATGTGGGATCTTCCTGGACCAGGGCTCGAACCCGTGTCCCCTGCATTGGCAGGCAGATTCTTTTTTTTTTTTTTTAATTTTTTAAAAAATTTATTCATTTATTTTTGGCTGTGTTGGGTACTCGTTGCTGCACGCGGGCTTTCTCTAGTTGCAGCGACCAGGGGCTACTCTTTGTTGAGGTGCACAGGCTACTCGCTGCGGTGGCTTCTCTTGTTGCGGAGCATGGGCTTTAGGTGCACAGGCTTCAGTAGCTGTGGCACGTGGGCTCGGTAGTTGTGGCTCATGGGCTCTAGAGTTCAGGCTCAGTAGTTGTGGCGCACGGGTTTAGTTGCTCCGCGGCATGTGGGATCTTCCCAGACCAGGGCTCGAACCCGTGTCCCCTGCATTGGCAGGCGGATTCTTAACCACTGTGCTGCCACCAGGGAAGCCCTAGAGCTTTTCTTGACACAGATCTTATGTCGGTTTTGGAGGACTTGTTTTGTTATTATCTTTTCGTTTACGATTTTAGTTTTTACTTTTTGTAGACATACGATGAAGTGGACCCTTGTTTAGTATGTTGAGGAAAGGTTATTGTCTGAATGTATACGTCTGCCTTCTATTTCAACTACATGAACAGTGAGCCTAGCTGAAAAAGTGGCTTCATGGCAGAATTCCTTTCTGCTGTGTTTACTCAAAAGGATGTAGCTCTGGCTTTTGACTTGAGTCCTGAATAGTGAGCTCTGGAATTTTAGTACTGGGATTTATGAGAAAAGGATTCAAACTGTACTGAACATTCCTTAACTGTTCTTCCTGCCACCAGGCCTAATGTATCTCATCCTTGAAGACTTGCAAAGACAGGAAGGCATTCTTAATTTTTTTAAGATAACTAAATTGTTTCTTAATAAATAAACTCCCTCTAAAAGAACAGTTCTCAAAAAAGGTAATGACTTCTTTCAGGGGATATTTGGAAATATGTGGGTGTGTTTTCAGTTATCACAGTGATGGGGGTGCTAATGGCTTTTTTGTTGCCATGAGGCCAGGATGCTAAATGTCTGAGCAGTCCTAGACAATGAAGAACTGACCTGCCCAAAGAGAACATGCTCCAAAAGTGGCTAGCCCTTTTCTTTATTCTCCCATTATACTCCTTATATAGAAAGAATTGTGATAATAATATAAGCAACTGTACTTTTGAGCCTTTCCTCATGCTGGCACCATACTTTATGCTTTACTTGTGTGCTTACATAATTCTTAAAGAATGTTTAGTAAGAGGATGCCATTCTGTAGCTGATGGAGCTCAGGCTTAGAGAAGTTACGGCCTACATGTAGTTAAAAAGTACCGCTGTGCATTTCAAACATACCAGTCTTTGTAACTGGAGAGTTCTTCCTGTACCACGTCTCTATACTGCCCTCTGCATTTTCAATATGGATAAATGAAATACAGGCCAATCTTTAGGTGCCTTGAGGATTTTTGTTAATTAAAAAAGAAAAACTAAGAACGAAATGCATAGGCACTGTGAGTGAATGGAGAGGTTGTTATAGAGACTTTATTTATTGTTTATTAATTAATTTTTATTTTTGGCTGCATTGGGTCTTCTTTGGTGTGCGCAGGCTCACTCTAGTTGCGGTGAGCGGGGGCTACTTCTCATTGCGGTGGCTTCTCTTGTTGCGGAGCGTGGGCTTCAGTAGTTGTGGCACGTGGGCTCAGTAGTTGTGGCTCACGGGCTGTAGAGCGCAGGCTCAGTAGTTGTGGCGCACAGGCTTAGTTGCTCCGTGGCATGTAGGATCTTCCTGGACCAGGGCTTGAACCCGTGTCCCCTGCATTGGCAGGCGGATTCTTAACCACTGTGCCACCATGGAAGCCCCTGGAGACTTTAGATGGATGATGCATGTGTGGATTACCGTGTACCACGTGCAGGGCGGTTTGTCCTGATCTGGAATTTCATATGCTGCGGAATTGCACTAATAACTTTGCATTAGCAAGTTTATTACTCTTCGATTTATACATGCATTTTCAGTACCCCCAACCAAACAGTTTGTAGCTAACTTGAGAAAAAAACTTCTGTGAGATTATGTTGAAATCAGATGTTTATTAAACTTTAAAATGTAATGCCTTAAACTGTAGCACTTTTAAAACATCTGTTTATGGCAAATCACTGAAAGGACTGTTAATGCTTACCTTGCACATGTTGATATTTTACGATTTTTTACTTTGTGATGTATTTGAAGTGTAAAAATAATAGTACTTTGTTATATAAGTTTGCCTAATACCTACTTTTTAGTCCTCATCATTAGCATGATTTTTGATGCTTATATTAAACTTTTAATTTTAACTGAGATAGTGTCATGTGTGGTTTGGAGGGTTTTGTTTTCTTTAAATTGCTAAACAAAATTCTCTTTTACCAGATGTCAAGTTAAGAAAAGGAAGAGGGAATAGACTTCCAAAAAAAGGGAGATGGCCACATATAATATAAGCATGATCTCTAGACAGGAGGATAATTCTTTTAAAATATCCTCTCAGAGCACAGTTACTCTCAGGACTGTAGCACAGCCCAAGCTTCTTATTTCCCATGTCAAAGTCCAGCATTATTTGAGAGAGGGATGAATCTACATAAGCCCATTGTGGCAAAATATCGAGTGCTTGTCTCTATTACACTCCTTAGCTCAGGAAGAACAGTTTTCTAAAATACCCGAACCTTTGGATTTTTCCTATAGATGAGCCCCCTGCCGGCTTTTTCCACGGCCCAGTCTTCCTCCTGAGGTCACAGTGCAGAGATCACCTCCTGAGGGATGGCTTCTGCTAAAGCCCTATCTAAAGTGGCCTTTCCTGAGAACACCCTGCTATAGACTGAAAGTTTGTGTGCCCCAAGAATTCATTAACTGAAACCTGATCCCGATGTGATAGTATTTGGAGGTGGGACCTTTGGGAAGTGATTGTGTCATGAGAGTGGAGCCCTCATGCATGGGATTAGTTATAAGAGCCCAGAGAGCTCCCTGCCCCCTTCTGCCATATGAGACTGCAGTGCAAAGACAGCCATCCATGAACCAGGAAGCAGGCTCTCACCAGACACTGAATCTGCGCATGCCTTGATTTTGGACTTCTAGTCTCCAGACCTGTGAGAAGTAAACTTCTGTTATCTGTAAGATACTCAGTCTATGGTATTTTGTTATAACAGCCTAAATGGACTAAAATATGCCCTGATTCATCCCCCAGCTTACTTCCTTCAGAGCCCTCCTCACTATCTACAGTTACCCTGTTTATTTAAATCCTCAGTTTCCACCATTTCTTCCACCTCTGGCCAGAGGTGCCCTTTGTTGCACAGGTTTTCAATTTTGATGAAGTCCAAATTGTTAATTTTTTCTTTTGTTGCCTGTGTCCTTTGGTGTCACATCCAAGAAATCATTGCCAAATCCAATGTCATGAAGCTTTTTGCCTGTTTTCTTCTAAGAGTTTTATAGTCTTAGCTTTTATGTGTAGGTCTCTGATCCATTTTGAATTAATCTTTGTATATGGTGTAAGGTGAGGGTCTAACTTTACTTCTGTGCATATGGATAACAGTTTTCCCAACACTATTTGTTGAAAAGACTGTCTTTTTCCCATTGAATGGCCTAGGTACTCTTGTCGAAAATTGTTTGACCATATATATGAGGATTTATTTCTGGGTGGATACTATCTTTTTTTTTTTTTTTTTTTGCAGTACGCGGGCCTCTCACTGTTGTGGCCTCTCCCGCCGCGGAGCACAGGCTCCGGACGTGCAGGCCCAGCGGCCATGGCTCACGGGCCCAGCCGCTCCGCAGCATGTGAGATCCTCCCAGACCGGGGCACGAACCCATGTCCCCTGCATCGGCAGGTGGACTCCCAACCACCGCGCCACCAGGGAAGCCCTGGATACTATCTTTTAAAGTAATGTATCACTAAACAGTTTTGTAGTAACACTGGGATATTCAGGCGAATGAAACGAAATAGAGAGTATATCCTCTAGTGTATAAAAATGGCATCACATTATGAAAGAACAGGAATAATATATTTTAAAAAGTGCTAGGACAGTTGGTTAATTACTTAGAAAACTAAAGTAACATCTTTTCTCCAATTAACTTCTTTTTCCAAGTTAATCCCCAAAGGATGAATTTCCCAAATTAATCCAAGTTAATCCCAAAAGGTCTAAAAAGTAAAAATAATACATCTGTATGTGTCTCTGAAACATTTGATATTTTCTAAGCATAAAAAAGTTACGGACATTTTGAAACACAGAAGTTATGGGCAAATCTTGTTTCATCTACATTATCCCACTTCCCACTAGCCCCATTCTGCACTGATTTATTGTGAAGCAAATATTAGACATATCACATGAACGTATTCATAACATAGAATATGACTTGCAAGGATGGCTAATCTCTAGTCGTAGTTACATTTCAAAGAAATATTGACAAGGGGTACAAATATATTGACAAAATAGCCTAAGAAAATATTTCAGAATGTCAAATCAAACAGACCAGAAGAACATGGTTAAGCTATTTTTCTCAAACATGTTTACAATTAAGTTACTAATGGAACAAATGATAAGAATGCTACTAAATGACCTATATCTTATAGTTCCTTCTTAGTCAGGTTTACGACTCAGAGTTTTCTTTCTTTAGGTTGTGCCTCATTTAAAAGAAAATTTTCCACAAGGAATCTACCAATTTGGCATTTCTGATTCTGAAACATGACACTAAAGAGGGAAATTCCACCAGTGAAAACTCTTTTCTCCCATCATACTCTGCTCGGCAGCATTTGTCCTCATTGTATTACCTTTTGTCAATCTGAGCTTGTTTAGCAACCCTCTTCCCACCTGGTATGCAAAGGCATGTAGTGAATTGTCAATTATTGTAGTTTTGAAAGATATCTTCCAAGGATATTTAAGTCCTTTATATGGTTTCCTTGTACACAA